CCACTTCTGTTAATATAGTACTAGAAAGTCCTAGTCAGAGCAATTAGGCAAGAAAAGGAAATTAAAGGCATTCAAATCAAAGAGAAAGAAGTTAAATTGTCTCGGCTTACAGACAGCATGATCTTATATACAGAAAACCCAAAAGAGTTCATCAATAACTCAAGATGGATTAAAGACTTGTATTAGTTCGTTTTTACACTGCTGGCAAAGACATACCTGAGACTGGGCAATTTACAAAAAAAAGAAAAATAAGTTTAATTAGACTTATAGTTCCACATGGCTGGGGAAGGTCTCACAATCATGGCAGAAGGCAAGGAGGAGCAAGTCACCTCTTACATGGATGGCAGCAGGCAAAGAGAGAACTTGTGCAGGCAAACTCTCATTTTTTAAAACCATCAGATCTCATGAGACTCATTCACTATCATGAAAACAGCTCAGGAAAGACCCAACACCATAATTCAATCACCTCCCACCGAGTTCCTCCCATGACATGTGGGAATTGTGGGAGTTACAATTCAAGATGAGATTTGGGTGGGGACACATACAACCAAACCATATCAAGAGTTAAATGTAAAACCCCAAACTATAAAAACCCTAGAAGAAAATCTAGGCAATACCATTCAGGAGATAAGGCAAATATTTCATGACAAAAACATCAAAAGCAATTGAAATAAAAGCAAAAATAGACACATGTTACTTAATTAAACTAAAGAGCTTTTGTACAGCAAAATAAACTATCATCAGAGTGAACAGACAAGTATAGAATGGGAGAAAATGTTTGCACTCTATCCAACTCACAAAGGTCTAATATCCAGAATCTACCAGGAATTTAAACAAACTTACAAGAAAAAAAACCAAACAACTCTATTAAAAAGCAGACAAATGACATGAACAGACACTTCTCAAAATATATGTGGCCAAAAAAATATGAACAAAAATCTCAACATCACTGATCATTAGATAAATACAAATCAAAACCCCAATGAGATACCATCTCATGCCAGTCAGAATGGCAATTATTAAGAAGTCAAGAAATAGTGGACACTGGTGAAGCTGTGGAGAAATAGAAACACTTTTAAACTATTGGTGGGAATATAAATTAGTTCAACCATTTTGGAAGACAGTGTGGCAATTCCTCGAAGACCTAGAACCAGAAATACCATTTGGCCAGGCAATTCAATTACTGGGTATATACCCAAAGGAATATAAATCATCCTATTACAAAGATACATGCTCATGTATGTTCATTGCAGCACTATTCATAATAACAAAGACATGGAATCAACCCAAATGCCCATCAATGATAGATTGGATAAAGAAAATGTGGTTCATATACCATGGAATATTATGCAGCCATAAAAAGTAATGAGATCATGTCCTTTGCAGGGACATGGATGGAGCTGGAAGCCATTGTCTTCAGCAAACTAACACAGGAACAGAAAACTAAACATCTCATGTCCTCACTTATAAGTGGGAGCTGAACAATGAGAACCCATGGACAGAGGCAGGGGAACAACACACACTGGGGGATAGGGAAGAACATCTGATAAATAGCTTATGTACATGGGCTTAATATCTAGGTAATGGGTTGATAGGTGCAGCAAACCACCGTGGCACAGGTTTACCTACATAGCAAACCTGCACGTCCTGTACATCTGTACATATATCCTGAAACTTAAAACAAAATATTTTTTTAAAACTCATCAAAAAATATTAGAACTAATAAATTAAATATAGTTTCAGGACAGAAAATAAAAAAGTTTCATTTTTACAATAACAATAAACAATCTGAAAAATAAATTAAGAAAATGATTCCATTTACAGACTTAAGTGAATAAAAAGGTAAGCCAGAGACAGAGACAAATGCAAAAAAATACTGGTTCTCTCTATCTATATCTATAGTTTTATAAATACGGATACAGATGTTAGTTCAGGCTGCTATATCAGATAACTATAAACTGGGGGATGGAAGGGGTTAAACAGCAGAAATTTATTTCAGTTCTGGAAGCTGAGAAGTTCAAGATCAAGGTGCCAGCCAATCTGGTCTATGGTGAAGCCCCACTTCCGGGTTTGTAGAGGGCCTTCTCCTTGTATCCTCATGTAGCTGAGAGCAGAGAGCTAGCTAGCCCTCTGGTCTCTTGGCTTCTTCTTATAAAGACATTAATTACATCCATGAGGGCTTTACCCTAACAGTCTAATTACCTGCCAAGGCTCAATCTTGATCAATATATTGGAATTAAGATTTCAACATATGAATTTTGGCAGAGCACAAACATTCGGTCTGTCTTGATCAATGGATAGATAGATGGATGGATGATAGGCAGATACATGCTGATATATATCATGCATATGTTATATATATTTTTTCATACATATCAATTCAACTAAATCAGAAAATGCATTAGCAAATGGGCAGACCTGGACAGAAATTTTAACCCAGAGGATGGTCAAATGCCTTACAAGCATATATAATCCATATATAATCCCGCAAACACAGATCATAATTATGGAGTGATACCACTACACATGTAGAAGGAAGGCTTAAATTAAAAAGTTTTACAATACCAAGTATTGGTGGAGATGTAGAACAATAGAAACCCTCATACATTGCTGGTAGAAAAGTACATTTGTATACCCTGTTTGGAAATCAAAAGGATTATCCACTACAGTTTGATATACCAACAACAATGTATTTTACTTTATATTCCAGCAAGTGTGTTCAAAGGTTGCTAACATGTTACATATCCTTTCTAAAGTTTGGGACATAAGACATATATAACTTTTATCATTTCTTCTATACACACACACACACACACACATAAATGTGAGTATGTATGTGTGTTTATGGAGATAGATTAGACAGACAATAGATAGATGGACAGATAGATCAACTGATAGATAGAGAGAGAGATAGACGATGTTTTTATAATGCTGCTGTGGTAACAGTGTGAGAGACCCAGGGAATGTCCAAGAAGTGTACATAGTTACCCACATAAATAACCTTGTCTCTGCCAGCTGCTTCAATAGGTTCATCCTATCATAAACCACTGGGGGTTGTGTATATGGTGCAAGCTAGTGACTCAGTAAGAAACTAGCACACAGGCAAGGGATAGAGCATCTATATAAAAAGAAATAATCAGGGTTTATATATTCTCATAGAATGGAAATTCACTTTTATGTCACTATGAGCCTAAAGTAGATGGGAGCATAGAGAAAGGGATTATAATGTAATATTTCCTGGACAGGATTTTTACTAAAACCTAGAGTTTCAATCTTAGAGACTTGATAAGAATTTGCAAATCTCAATAGTTTTATTTTTAGCTAAATACTTAATAGTCTTGTTCACATTCTGACCACTTTCTGTATTCACCATCTTTGAGACTAAACATATTATTTATTATTCTTATTGATGTCTGCTCCAGACATTAAGGGGAGAGATTACATTAGTCAAGAAAGAAGTGTAAGTGAGGACTAAAAGCTGATAAACACAAATGTTTCTGTTCACTCTTATAGGGTAGTCACTAATATTGACATCACCTTAATATTCTGTTGACCATATTTATCAATGTATGTCCTTGGAAGTGGAAAAACAATTATAGCAGAAAAGAGCTGTAAGAGAAAAAATGAGATTCCAGAATCAGATTCTTTGATGTCTGCTCTTACAGAAAGTGGGGGAAATCTCTGAAATTGAGCCTTCCAAAGAACTTAACATATGCAATCATGTTTTTGATTATCATTCATCTACCGTGTCCTCCAGGGTTCCAGCCCAGTTTAATGACAGTAAATCTAAGACAGAAATTGCTCTTAACTATGAGCTTATCATTGTGCATATTATTACTGGGTGCAATGGCCTTTGTTGGTCTTCACCATGCAATAACCACAAAGTCCTCATTTCTATGATCCAATTATTTCCTTCCTTGGTAATGTTATTTCAGCCACTCCTTATTTGTTGGCTATTAAATGCTACCTGAGAAGTCAGTTAAGTTTGCAGAGTTAGGGATAATTGCAGATAAATCTTAATATTTCCTTAGGAAACAATCCTACGTGAGATTTCTTTAGGTAGTGGCTGTAGTAGAACAACAGCATGAAGGCTAGCATGATCTGGGAATAATGAGGTCAAAACGTGAAGACTACTTCGCTGGTGCTGTTTTTCCACAAGTTTCAGAGGAGTGATTCTAAATAGCAAATGCTCAATTAAAAAGAATCACCTGAACATTAAAGAGTGATGATAAAAAGATACGTGTTTCCTCAAGTATTGTGATTTGTCACATTTAATTTCCTCAACCTCTACACAGTTTTCAGGTTTTGGAAAATTATGTGGGATTTCAGGTAAGATTTGAGCAGTGGCATGAAGGGGATAAACCAAAACTTGTCCAAAGACATAGAGGATATCTCTTTAAATTTGGAATTATAGAATTGAATTGTGTTAAAAGAACAAGTATCTCAAAAGAACAAGTTTCTTAAAAAAAGAAATGAGACATCTTACTGATCAATATAAGTAAGAAAAAAAAAAAGGAAAATAAAAGAAAGAGAAATACTTGAAATCTGAGGCGAACCTGACTAGTAAGAGTCTGCACCCAGGTTACATGTTGCTCTCAATCACTTGCTTTTCTCCATCACTGGAGGGAGGACTGAGGAGGACGGATGAGCACTCAGTGGGTTAGGGAACAGTCACAATGACTGTGTGGATGATGGTGAGAATGTTTATAGGAAGGGACAGTGTCCTTTAATGCTACTATTTGGAATCTAAGCTAGATGCATTTTGGTCTTTGGAGGTGGAAATGATGAGTGTGGCAAAAGACAGGGACTTGGTCATGAGAAATTACCACTGCTTGGAAGTGAAATTGTTGGCACAGCTGGACAATGTGAGGAAGGCTGTCCTGGTCTCTGCCATATCAAGTGTGTCAGGCACAGCATGGGGGCAGCAGAAACTACAGAAATGAAAAGAAAAAGGAAGTGAGTTGCATGGGCATGGAGAAGCGTTATAAACACCACAGGGCCACCCAGTTCCACATTCTGAATATTTTCAGCAGCAGCTGAGGCAATCCCACTGAGAGCATTTGGAGGTTTTTGTAACAGGGTGCATCACTGTGAGAGGGAAATTATCATGTTGTTGACAGAAGTAATATGCAGCATCCTCAGATTCTACATTATTAATTGTGAGAGTAAAATCTACTCCATACCTGCCGCCACTGAATCTAGGTGGGATTCCAGAAACGAGAGTAGTAGCATCTTTAATAATGAGTTTAGGAGCTTCTCCTGGTTCCTGTTGGTACCAGTTCATATCATCATCAATGTCTTGGCTGGCTTTGCAGGAGATGGTGACTTTGTCTCCTGGAGTCGCTGACACAAATGCCAGAGACTGTGTGAGTATCATTTCTGCCCTGGCATCTGATTATGGAATAAAGTAAAAAACATAAATCAAATGCATCATATTTGGAGAGAATGAGGAAAATCAATTCCTTATGAAAATATATTTTTGTGGAGATGCAGGGGACTTAACGGCACAGAGGAGACGAAGTGTGTCTCTTACCAGAGATCCAAAGGAGGAGGAAGCTGAGGAGGTGAACCTGGTATCCCATAACCTTGGCCCTGACCTGCAGGTGGTAGTCAGTTTCCTAATCAGTTTGACAGCATAGATTTTATGGCCACAAACATATTACAGGGTTATATAAGGGAGAAATATGCAAATTATGTGGTACATGATGGTGACATACGGAGTGTTTAAATGGCAGCGTGTGCGAGACCTAACCCATGAGCTGTGCATAGTTTTAGCTTCACAGCTGTGCACACTCAGAAGGTTAAAATTGACGTAACCTCTTGGGTGTCCTTTTATCATCTTTCTTTTTCTTTGCTTTTCTGCAACAAGACTCATTATTCTGCAGATTTCAGTGCTACCTCTTCTGTGGTTCTGATAATCAGTAACCTACCACTGGTAGACGCCCTGGCAATCTTCCTGACATTGCCAACAATTGCCTTTCTTTGAGCCCTACATCAAGCATCCTGTTCTGTTCCCTGTGATGAAATTCAGGGTCAGAGAGGCTGCACTTTTACAATGCGCACTTGGTTCCCTGATTACTGAGCCCTACTTTTCTTTGGCATTAATGCACTTGTTAGTTCTACTAAACTATAATTTCATAATATCCTGAGAGTCGTTTTCATGTATTAAAATTTGTATTTTGACTACAGTGTATTAATTGCTTTTCAATGGAACCTTGTTGTCATAAAATGATTTTCTTTCTATACCATAAATGCACATTTTTAAACACTATAAGCAGACTTTGAAAATGGAACTCTGAAAATTACAGGCATACCTTAGTGTAAAAGAGATAAAGAGTGAGAAATTAGATTAGTATAATCAGTTTGAGTGGAAAGTGATATTACTCTCCTGGGGTTTTTTTTTTTTTTAATAATAAAATTCTGTTTTTCCCATTTTATTCTTCTAGAAGGCAAAGGGAATCATGGAGGTGGAGGATTCTTGCTAATGAAACAAAAAGCATTCTAGAAAGTTTCCAAACTTCAACATTGCTGGTATCTGATATGTATTACGGAAAACAGAACCAACTACATAATTTGTGAGCTCCAGTGCAAAATAAAAATGCAGGGCTGCTTCTTAAAACAGGAAGAGAATTTTCTCTAAAATATTTTTTTAACTTTGAAAATATAATAGTAACATGAATAGCAAGACAAGCTTTCATATAATTCAAAATGTCTGCTTATGCATTCTATCATATCACTGGATCCTCCACTACAAGGAAAAAATAATTTTTAAATTGTTTTTCTCACTAATAATTGATTAATTTGATTCTTCATATGAGAATAATGTGCTTTGCTATCAAATATAACAATACTTAAACTTAGTTTTTACTTCTAAGACTGTGGAAATTTGCTTTGCATTATTACAGCAATTTTCAAATGTGGAGATTCTAAACTCTTGGGGGAATTATAATAACTCCTTGATATGCTTTATTACAATGTTTATGAGTATGATTTTATTTTGTAATGATTTACTCACACTGTTTACTGCCTAAGCATTAGTAGTTCCTGTTTTAATACTCGGGCTGAAGAGTTAAAATTAATTATACTTTAATTTAATTTCAATTTATTAAGCCACATAATTATATAATAACAGTAATACATAGAATTTTGATTAATAGCTACTATTAACAGAGCATAGGCTTATGTTCCCAGGGCCCATAACAAAGGCACAGTATCTGCTCTATCCTTCCTATCATGTCTGTGAGATATTTTTAATCACCCCTAAAGGATCACCTGGTTGATACATTAAATAGCTTTCCTAAGTTCAAACATTAGCTAAAAGAAAAGTCAGACTTTAGACCTTAGTTTGCCTAATCCCAAAGTCCTTGGTATATAGTCTGTCTACAGCGATGCATGGTTGTCCTCAGATTCATCTATGTGTTACTTTCTCATGTTCGTCTTTTTGTTGTGATTTCACACTTTATTTGTAACATGGTGCTGCAGTCTCCCTCATCTTTCATAATGTCTATAAAAGAGAGAATCACAGGCAACTGTAAACTGGCCAACTGTCTATACTGTTAAACTAAAGCTAGTTCTAAAGCCTTTTATTCTGTATGACTCCCACCCAGCCCTCTGGGTGCTCAGCTACTCACTTTAAGATGGAGACACTCTCGGCATGTTTCATTAAACGAGAGACCTGGTAAGCAGGGGTTCCTCTGACAGCTGGAACACAGAACCCTTTTCCTGGTATGAACCTAACTCTGGAAACATTCAATCAAAGATTGATCACAACTGTGAGGACAGTTTCCAAATTAAAGGAACTTTTGAATTTAGATTTCAGTGGAACAATGTAAATAAAGAATTTAAATAACACTGCAGCCATACCTGCTATATTTGAGAATAATAATGTGTAATCTAAAGAGGAAAATGTCATAATAAAGTAAAAATAGAAAAGGATTTATAAAGAAAATTTAGCTAAAACTGCCTGTAAGAGGAATAAGAAGTGAGATCAACATAAAAGACACTTTTTAAGACTCATTATTGGGGTTTGTTCTGGTGAAGAAGCTTAAAGGAATAAGAAATGTGGGTTGAAACAGAGGAAGTGAGAGCAAGATAGAGGGAGAGAGAAAGAGAGACCGCAAGTGGAGGGCCCACGAGGGAAGCTGCCTTATACGTTACAAGAATATTAACTACCACCCTCTTTTTGGATGGGAGGGTATATAGCAGTTGTGCCATTCTTGTCTCACTATTATTTGCAGGTCCTCAGATTTAAAAGAACAGGACTCAAGGAACAGCATTCAAAGAACCATGGACAAGAGAACTCATTCACAACAGAACTTGATTTAAATAACGGTATCTTGGACTTTAGCTTAACACTCATGAAATAACTCTTGGGATTTGGGGGTGAGAATTAGTGTATTTTACATATGGGTAGAATGTGGATTGTTTTAGCAAAGGTAAACATAGATGATTATATTCTCCGAGAGGATTGTAAGAAGATCTCTCATTCTACATGTTCCTCTAACAGTGTGATCTATTAGATCTATTAGTATATAAACTGTGGCACTCCTCCCATTAACTCCAGGAAATGAACTTTAAACTTTACATTTTACCATTTATAGACATCAGTGCTAAATGAATCATTGACTTAAATATGAAAGTGAAAAGAATAAAGCTTCTAGAAAATGTCACAGGAACATCTTTAATGACCTAAACATAGCCAAAGATTTTCTTAAAAAGATATACAACACACCAAACACAATGGAAAAGAATAACAAGTTAGACGTCACTAGCATGATTTCTTTTTTGTATTAAACAAATAAATAGAGTTACCTTTCTACAAATACATATTGAAGAAATAAACTTCCCAGAGGAAAGCCAAATTATAAAAAAGAAAGATTCAGAATGTAATTACCTTGGTGGGGAGAGGTAGGTGTATGGGATTATGAAGATGTTCAGATCAGATATAAGTTACTGTCAAGGTTCTAACTTGTATTTTGTGTAGTAGGTTCACATGAGTTTATTACATTGTTATATACAAACATATTAATAAATGAGTGCCTGAATAAATAACTAAGAAAGAGCCATGGAAGGACAAATGAAAGTGCATTATGAACCAAAAATTATAGTTAAGTAATTATGATGACGTGTCATTCTTATTTTCTATTAATTATTACAGACAACAACTGTGGTAATAATTAGTTATTTATTCAAGCACTCATTCATTAATATGTTTATATGTAACAATGTAATAAACTCATGTGAACCGACTACACAAAATGCAAGTTAGAACCATGACAGTAACTTATATCTGATCTAAACATCTTCATAATTATTACAGACCACAACTGTAATAATTGATAGCAAATAAGAATGACAAATGCTGATAATTAAGCTGGTTGCAGTGCTGTTCACCTGCAGGCCCAGCTACTCAGGAGGTTGAAGTACGAGGATCACTTGAGCCCAGGGGTACACGTCCAGCTTGGGGAACACAGTGAAACTCTATCTCAAAGGAAAGAAAAAAGAAAAGTGGTACAAAGATAGTGTAAAGACAAAAGAAAGAGAGAGGGAAAGATGACAATAAAAATAAGCAATGAAAAAATCTTATGCAGATTCCAGAAGAAAAATTCTGCAGTGTTTTCACATAATCAATAGAATTGAAGAGTGACTATCATAATCCCACAAGAAAATTGAACAAAAATGTGCAATACAAAAGTGTAAATGTAAGTCTAGGTCTATGAACTCTACTGGTGAATGAGAAAAATACAACCTAAATTCACTATTTTAAAAAATAACCAATATTTAAGGCAATAGCAACTGGACTTAGCACTATGAAGGAGCACGTCTGCAACATGAAAGTCACACTGGAGCACTGCTCCCTCTTCACATTCTAGAAGTATGATGAGATTGTATAATAAAGAGAGAGGGTGAAATGGATTTAAAAACAAAAACAAAAAACCGTGTAGAGAGCCAAACCTAAGAATTAAACATTTTTAGAGCTATAGCAGAATTATTTGAATAAAAACAATAGAAAAAATATATAATTTAAGGCAATATTTCTGAGTCCGCTAAGAACTGACTATAAATTGAACGGATTCACTCAATCCTAGGACTAAGTCTATTACAAGAAAAAGCATACAAATAATTTGTAACATTTTTAAAAATCATGATCAAATAAAAAGCCAAAACATCTAAAAGTTTTTTTTTTCCTCAAGACATAACATTTAGGTTTAATTTGGCATTCTCCTCTGGTGGTGTAATGATATCTACAAAATCATAAAGTTTTGAGAGAAAAAAGTTTACGACCCAAGCATGTGATAGTGACCTAAGGAATGATGAATATGACATAAATTTGCAGTTATGAAGCTAGGCAGAAATTATAGTGCCCATAAAAATTTAAAAAATAGAAAATCTTGGAAGGTTGATTTCAATTGGTCAAGAGTAGAAATAATACAGTTGAGAGTTAAGAAGATAAACTGTGATTTGTGGTTTTAAAGGCTGTTGATGAGGATAGAAATCATTGAAACTAAGAACTTAATCTAAGTAGCTTGAAACCTTGTTTATAACTATTCATTGCATTTGAGCAATTCCTCAAACACAGGGTATGTAATACAATAGAATTTAGTATACAATAATCTATATATAAAAATGATGTTATTACTCATGTAAAAACAGGAAGCAGAATTGGGGGTT